TAAACCAACTTAATATAACTGTAACCAAAGTAAACTCAATTAAACCCACATAAAGTTAAACCAATAATTCAAAGTTAATTATTATTAATCTAAATCTAATTCGTCTAGTTTAAACTAAAAAAAACCACAATAAACGAAACAATCTGAATTTAAATGCTGTTAATGTGCTGAGATCAAAGCTCTCAGTGAGTAAACATGTTTGTTTGTTTGTTTGTTTGTTTGTTTGTTTGTTTGTTTGTTTGTCTTCAGACTCTATGACGGTTCGGAGAGGAAAGAAGCTCAGCATCTCCATCCAGGAACACATGGCCATAGACGTTTGTCCCGGCCCCATCAGACCCATCCGCCAGATCTCCGCCTACTTCCCCCGCCTGTCCCCCACCTCCCCCACCCCCGTCTCCCCCAACCCCGCCGTGTCCCCGCCGCCGTCCCTCAGCCCCGGCTCGGTGGCCTCGGGAATGGGCGGGTCTCACCTCTTGTCTCCTCTGTTGGCCCAGGGCAGGCCCGGCGGGGGCGGGTCCCTATCCCTGACCAGCAGCGTGGACACGTCGGTGGAGATCAACAGCTCCGACAGCGACGACTGCAGTGAGCCTCGCTGTCGGCATGTGTCTGTGTGCGTGTGTCACCCTGCATCTGTACACATCTGTTTAACGTCACCCTGAGGCTGCTTCCTGCACGGCGCTCCGTCTCAAGTCTGTTTTCATACATTTCATGAGGCTCAAAAATATCGTGACTCGCCACTGTCACGGTCCCAGTGATGCTTTTGGGGTTTGGATTTGGTTTTCTCGGTTATCCACCGTTAGGCCTGTAACACAGCACAGAGGACCATCACAGCTGTCAGTCTACAGTTACCCTTCATTCATTTATATTTTGCAGGAAAATGGCTTCAAAATTGTATTCAAACATGCAAACACAACACTATAGAGAACAAAAGCCTGCAATGAGTTTGAAAGTGAATGTGTGTTGTGAGCAGCTTCATCCTCCAGCTCAGGCTCTGTCGGCTCGGTGAGGATCTCCAGATGTATCTCCAGGCTTCCTGGAGGACATCCAAAGCTCTTTTTGTATGTTTCTGCCTTTGTGCTGCTCCCTGTCAGGATGATCCCACTCATTGTTGCCCCTGTTGTTATTTTAATGAACACCAAAGCAGCTGAAACTCACGAACAACCCCTCTGCTACATACCTGACCAGATCAACACCCCTGCGTGGATGCACAGTAGTGCAGATAAAGCAGGGCTGAGAAACCTCTGCGTGACATCACAGCATGTTTTGGTTCTGTCAGATGGACTGAAATATTTTCTCCACGTCTCTTAAATCTCTTAATTCTCTCTCTGAAGAACAAATCTGGGGCTGAATTATTTCTCGTCTTTTTTAGTGAATCATGTTGTTTACTGGAGGCTGAAAGCCGGCTTAGGCTGGAACGAAAACAAATATATTCATTGTGAATTTCCTTCAGACAACAGTGCTCAAGTCTCCTTTGGCTAACGTACCGTAATCACCTTTTATGGAGATGTCGATGTGGGGGTGGGATGAAAGGTCACAGAGTCTGCAGAAACACCACGAAGGTCGCTCGGAGTAACTGAGGGACCTAAAAACGCTGCAGCAGCTCCAGTCTGATCGTTTCATGGATTTAACCAGCAGCAACCCTAACAGCCGTTCCTGCGCCGCTGCACCGTGGATGCATAATTCATGTGTTTGCAGCTCACACATACGTAACCAACACATTGACGCGTACGCCTCTCGTGCTGAAGCTCGGCCAGACTGCAGATGCTGAGCGTTTTTGGGGAGGCAGGTAACGGCCTCAGAGATGGAGCGCGAGTGCGCCGATCGTCTCCTTCATCCTCTCCTTCATCCTCTCCTTCATCCTCTCCTTCATCCTCTCCTTCATCCTCTCCTTCATCACCGCTTCAGTTACAACACGAGAATAAATTGTGATAAATGAGTCAGGCTGAATGCTCTCAGAGCTGGTGACATGTTTTCAAGCTCCGCTGTGATTCAGAAAGCAAAGACTAATTAGAGGTTTTTACCATTTTTATCCCCTCATTAACATATATTTGTTTTGCAGTCACCACTTGATGATTTTTTTGTGTTTTTTAATAACGAGGCGTCAGATTCATCAGAGCGGGGAAAGCCTGAGGGAGGAGCGGAGCGCCAAAGTTTGACAGGCCGTCTCCTCGAACAGAAACTCCAGGCTTTGATCAAACATAAAAGGAACTCTGGCTAACAAAGAACGCCTTCACAGGGGCGCTCCTTTGTGCACGCGTGATCCCTGCAGCCTCGGGCTTCGCTGCTGCAGAGCGATGATTCCTGCGCAGGACGGTCACAGGGCGTTTTGAGGTTTTGCTGACATGTTCCAGCCGTCGCTGCCTCGGGCTGCTGTAAGTCAATATAGGTGGGTGGAAGCAGGAGTCTTTTTTATTTTTACTCAGTGTTCAGGACTGCAGTGGATTAAGCAGAGAGAGGACGACTATAGGATGGACTCAGAAAAGTGCATCCAACAGTCAGAAGCACTGATTTAAGTTTCTGATGACGACGTCTGATGTTGTACTTACAGAAAAAAAGGCCAAAAGACTCGAAATACAGAAACTGAAGTCTGCTTCTGCCTCGAGATACTAAAAGACACACAGACTTAAAATACAGCATCATTACTACGCTGCCTTTGTGGGACAGTTAGTTATCTTACACGATACAGAGTCGGGGCCACGAGATGCAAAGCTACCTGGATGTGACAGCGATCATGTCTTTGGGATGCAGAGTGAGCTATCAGATACAAACAGGACCTTATGAGATATAAAGTCATCATTAGCTGTTCTGTAAATGTGTCTCATAAGATACAGGACAGACGCTGAGACTAAATCAACAGGCTTCCATGTCTGTGTCTCACGCTGGATGGCAGTTGGTTTTCCCGCCTTTTTCTGTACCAACTGTGTGCAGTTAGCTGAGCTAATCCGGTCGTTCAGTCTGACGTCACTAGCCGTGTCTGGCTAAACTCCGCTGCAGGTCCATATATCAAACGATCACTATGGCATTACTGAGAGTTGAAAAACTGTCTAAAGTCTTTCATCTTTACTTAAACTCAGATTCAAAGTTAGTTTTCCTCGTGTTTTCCTAGTTTTTAAATTTTAAATTTTTTTCTCTATGTGGTCGATCGATTAGCGGCTTCTCCTCGAGAGATAGCGCCCCCGCCAAAAGTTGTGGAACAAACTCATTCTGGGTCCTTCTATGCCGTCTGGTATTCTCGTGATTCTTACATTATTCCTCCTGGATTGTGCCTCAAGATCTTCACATTTCTCATCTAACTTCTTTAACTCTGTAGACAAACGCTCCACAGTGGCCTGGAGAGTGGCGATGGTGTCAGAGTGGTTTGAGGCACAGGCCTGCAGTTCAGTCAAAGTGTTATCGTGCTTGGCCACGTCGCTTTTTATGTCCGAAATTGAGGCCTGGATGCTCTGGTTCAAGGACGATACCTCGCCTCTTATGGTGGTAGAAATCTCTAACATGTGAGTGTCCAGTGTGGCGCACAATTTAGGCTTGATCGTATTTATCTCTGAACACAAGCTAGTTATAGCAGTTAGTAGCAGTTTATTCGACGGCTCACATTCATCCTTTTCCAGTGCAGGTGTGGGGTCCCCACCAGCTGAGTCCGAAGAGGCTTCCAGGCCTACATCGATCGCTCTTCTGAAGTTTGGGCTTCACCATTGTTGAAAGGCTCCCAGAAATATATCCACAGCAATCAGCAGGTTATGAATTTGGCGAAAAGATGGGTTTGACGTGCTTTTGAGAGCATTAAAAGATTTTCTTAAAGTCATTTTGACGAGGGACGTCTACACTCGCACATGCCTCACTAGCGCCCCCTATTTCTCATTTTTTAAAATCTTTTTTTGTTTGAATATTTTGCTTCTAGAAGTGTTCGCTATGTTGATCTGCGTATGAGTACTATCTACAAATAAAATATCTGAGATTCTCAATTCATGGGCAGCACAGTGGCCTCACAGCAAGGTCCTGAGTTCAGGCCGGGGTCTTTCTGTGTGGAGTTTGCATGTTTGTGTGGGTTCTGTCCGGGTACTCCGGCGTCCTCCCACAGTGCAAACACATGCAGTTAGTGGGGTTAGGTTAATTGGCCATAGGTGTGAATGTGAGTGTGAATGGTTGTCTGTGTGTGGCGACCTGTCCGGGGTTATCCTCTAAGACAGCTGGGATAGGCTCCAGCTCCCCACGACCCTGCAAAAGGATACGAGCGGAAAAGAATGGATGGATTTTCAATTCAACTCAATTTATTTTATTGTCTTTATTGTCCCACAGGGGAAATTAGTTTAGCAGCAAAGGCAACAATAAGAATAAATAAAAGTGATGGTGATGATGAAATGAGCACGGGGTGACTGTGGCTCAGGGGGTTGGGAAGCGCATCTGAAGGTTGCCGGTTTGATTCCCGGGTCGTTGTGTCCTTGGGCAAGACACTTCACCTACCGCCTACTGGTGTTGGGTTAGGCTGATGGCGCGATATGGCAGCCTCGCCTCTGTCAGTCTGCCCCAGGGCAGCTGTGGCTACACCTGTAGCCTCCACCAGTGTGTGAATGAATAGTGGAATTGTAAAGCGCCTTGGGTGCCTTGAAAAGTGCTATATAAATCCAATCCATTATTATTATAAAAAGCCACACGACAGTTATTTGGATTATTTGCCATTAAGGAGACGAGTCGCAGTCGGGATAAAAGAAACCTGGAGTCTTTTTGGTCAACCTCGCAGGTGAAACTCGAAGGCAACGAGCGAGTCAAACTGAACACGAGCCTTCCTCAGCACGCGTTGTTATACATGGCCACAGGCCCTGACAGTTTTCTGGCAGTTTATAGCAAAACTCCCAACTGGTTCTTGTTCTTCAGAGTCATATTACCAAACAGCGAATCGCAGGCTCACACTCTGCACAATCTCAGTATCTTTAATGACAGCGGCTGATGAGCTATAAGAAGACTTCCCAAAATCAATAATCACGTCTTTTGATTTTGACGCCTTTAATGAAACGAAGGACTCATCACAACAACCCACAAAGTCCTGTACAACCTGCCCGTGGCCTGACTCGGTCCTGCTCACTGTGTGTTGGGAGTTTACCTGATTACCTGAATTGAAACTGTGTAAAACTAAAACATTTTCATCAGAAGACTGAAATGTACGGAGCCCCTCTGACGACATGGTCCAAAAAATAAATAAATCGTGGCCATGAAATACTATTTCGTGAGCATGAAATGCTAATTTGTGGGCACGAAACACTTGACCGATAACTGTGATCCTTCAGGCCCTTGCAGTTGGTTGACAATAAAATCCAGGTCCTACGTACGTCTGTAAAGCAACTGGGCTCGCAGTATCCTGTTTAAATGTCTCTCCGTAATAATGGTTCCTTGCATTGCAGGCTTTTCAAAATGTATTTGTAGCTCATCCCCAGCCTAAAATAAAACTTCATCATACTGTCTCTGTCCACGGTGCATAGGTTTAGCCTACTCTCATGCTTATGTCTCTACGCAGCTGTCCACGAATTGTATCAATATGATGTGCGCAGGTTATCTGTTTCGTTGCCACGTTAGACCTATTTCGTGGCCACAATTTATTTCTTTTTTCGACCATGTCATCAGAGGGGCTCCATAGAAATGAACTTAATGCCAAAATCACGCCTTTGTGTTTGATTTTCTTTTTCTTTGTGTTACTGTGACTGCCAGCTCGTCCTGTGGCCTCTGCAGTCATTTTCATGTCTTTCTGTCATTTGAACATTAAAATGTTCAGTCACAGCGGCCCTGAGCCGCGAGGTTCACTCAGTGAAGAAGAAAAACCAGGACGTGGCAGAGGCCGCGCTCGTTCACCGTGCAGCAGAGCAACGTAGCCGTTAGTCCGCTACACACAGCAGCTCAGAGTTAGCGTATGAGTGCGGTTAGTTATGTAAGCAGTGATGTGTTAGTGTGAATCATACGTGTTATCTGAGCGAGCGTGTGTGCCCTGTTACACGTGCACGGCTGTGAATGTTTACTCTTCTTTGTAGGAAGACTGCGAGTCACGTGCGCTCTCCTCCGAATTGGATTCCCATCTTCTGATTGCATGACATGCCTGACAAGTTTCTCTGTTCTCTTGCATGCTTTCAATTAAATCTAACAGTTTTGCTCTCTTGCGCTTGTTGACGCGAGGCTTGTAATCATGTTTTCTTTCACGAATCATGGATGTTGTCTGTTTCCTCCCTCTGCCTGTGATGATTCCCCAGCTGCTCTGGGAACGCTGGAGTTCGAGCTGAGGTACGAGCAGAGCTCCAACAAGCTGAACTGCACCGTGCTGCGGGCCAAGGTGAGGACGCTCTGCAGACACCGACACGCTCTTCTTCTCTGTTTTCATGCAACAGGAAGCATACAGCCCATATGGAGTAAAACCGATCAGCTGATTTACGCTGTGCAGTAGCTTCAGTATATTTCATAAACCTTCATATCAGGAATGAAAGACACGTTTAAGGATCCCAGGATTTTAAAGAAAAATCCGCCCCGAGCCCTTCACGTGAAAATCACTTTGTTTAGCTTTTTTAAGACAAGTTATAATCCAATAAGAGTAATAATAATAATAATATATGAGAAAGTTGCATAAAGCAGATTAAACACAGGGAACTATGTTATATAATAATAATTAAAGTCTGCTCTCAGCTGTGGATTTTCACCACTCATCATAAATTAAATCTGCTCTAGTTTCATGAACTGCTACGAATTAGATTCCCTCCACAGAGTGAAGAATAATGAAGGCTGTGCTGTCAAAGATAAATATGAGCTCTAATAGTATTTCTGTGCAAATTCAGATTTATTGAGCTACTTGGACCTGTGGGTCTGCTGCACAGATTGTTATTTGGTCAGTAAATTTCACTCACACACACTTTTATTCGTCTGGGTGCTGCTGCTGAGGAGCGAGAGTAATCTCTGATTATGGATCTGAGGAAGCTGCAGGAAAACGATGCGTGCATCCTCAGCTCGTCGTTGACCCAGTAACAGTCCCAGAGCAGGTGTCAGGAGTCAGGAGGAGGTGAGATAAGAGGCGGCCGAGCCTCGGGCTGGAGACCCGTGTTTGGTGTGAAGAGCAGGCGTCGAGCTGGAGTCACCAAAGTGATGCTGATGGGCGTGCCGTGTGCTATATCCAGCAAACAGCCTAAAGTGAGATGAAACATATGACGTTTTCTGCTGTTTTACATCAGGATGCATTTGGTTTCACTGAGGTTGTTCCTCAAAGTGTCATTATGAAAAACAACGTGTAATTCGTCCCTTTTAAAACTGTTCCTCAGGTTATCTGACATTTTGTTTGAATATCAGCAGCGATACACATCACTACAAACATCAGACTGACAGACTAAACGTACTACTCCGCTGGCACCAGGTACAAGCGTCGCCCACTTTAACCAAAATACCTCCTCGTAGGCGTTTTGCATAATTGTCCAGCCGTGTCTGACATCGGCTCGCTGAAATCTTTGACCTCTCTTCTTTTTAAAATCCCTTCAGCTGCAAAATGTTTGAAGGTTTTTCTCCTTCACACCACGTGGGATTCATTCCTGGCTTTAAAGCCATCACATCACACCATTTCCTGTTTTTGAGTCGTTCCTCGGAGTTATTTGAGCGCCACAGACAGTCCTGCTTAAAGGCCGGGTGGACATGCCAGGAAAGGATGCATATTGTTGTGTATTTATGGAGAATCTGGCTCTTCACCAAAGATCACTCCTCCTTATGGTAGACGTGTGACGGCCTGCCTGTACCTGGCACAGGTTACACCGCACCTTGTTTTGGGTTCTCATCCGTCAGGCTTGCTCGGAGAATCATCTCACAGCTCACCATGACTGTTCACAGATGTTACAAAAGATGGCGTCGCCTCTGCGTCTGACTGCGACAGCTGTAATTCTTTCTAATGTCAAACAGGAGGCGACTCTGTCAGATGCAAAAAGATTCCTGGTTGTGCAGAAGACACACGACTTCCTCTGTGACCTCAGTAAACACTCTCCTGATGGGTTTATGGGCTCGGTCACAAGTCTGAATAAAACATTGAATGCATTTTGTAAATTATGGTCCTTCTGAGAGTGAGAGGAGAATCATCCAGCTCTGTCTAACGAGCCATCAATCACAATCGCTACGAGCATCTGGTACTCCTGGTTTCGCACATCTTACACCAAGACAGTGATTTCAGACTCTCGGCTTGAGACGTCATGAAGAGAGAGCTGAAGCTGAAAGACATCCCCACCCTCAGCACGAGCCCACAGAGAGGGAGCAAACTTATCTGGGTCCAGCTTGTGGCAGAAGATGGGAAAAACCAGGAATATTTATTAAAACTCTTATTCTCTATTTTATTCTCTTCCTGATAACTACTGCGCTCAGTGTGGCCAAACCACCCCATCCAACAGCTCCACCTTTGATCCATGTATCCAGAGCGGGGTGTTCCTAAAGATCTGACAGCTGCTAATCTGCACCACCTTTTTCAGAATGCAGATGGACCAACAGCAGCTCCGTGAGGATGAAGTGGAGTTACTGCAGACGTCCCAGCAGAAACTTTTTGGTGCTGATTTTACTGAAACATCAACAAGCATCAGCTTTACAGGGCTAAAGAACCAAAATCTGCAGTTCCTCTAACGTCCACTAGAGGCTCCAACACTTTATAGCCTGGCTCCATGTTTGCATTATTAGGGGCGTGGCCTCTGTAGCTGACACAGGTGGCTGTAGCTGTCTGCTAGCTTCATCTGACCTGGACCTCCAGTCTGTGTTTGTGCTGTTGGAGCCTTCAAATTATAATAATGACATTATTTGACCCGTAATATGGCAGCTGCGAGGTTATTGTACTAACTGTTCAAGAAGCCTGAGCTCCAGGTGTGCTGAGTGGAATTCTAGTATTTTACTTGCATGTTACTGGGATATAACACTCCACCCTCTATGAAGCTTTATAAAGTGGGATTTGCAAACCACAGTAGGCTGTGGAGTCCAGGAAGTGATGGGTCGGTGTTTGATGCCTTCAGACATCAACAAAAAATGTCTATGAAGTTTTAGGTGTTTATAAAAAAAGTGGATCTAAAGAGTTATTTTGAGGGAGAAAAGAAATGAAAGGTTATTTTTGTCTGTCTCAGAGAACCTCTGAGAGGCGTCTCCCATCATTACAAACACAAATATGATGGAGACGTGTTTGTTTGCTGTCGCCGTGCGCACACTGCTGAGGCTGTTCAGCATTGCTAACCTGCACAAACGCAGCATATATTAAAGAGATTTCTCCTCCCTGCATGTTGGCGTGTGCTGCATGCACCGCTGTCTCAGTGTGCATGCACAGATCCAGAGTGTGGGGAGCTGAACCTGCTCTGACTGCAGCCCGTCGTCTCTTTACAGCCTCCGTTTGTCTCTTGTTGTTTGTGACACTTAAATTGGACTCTGCTGTGACAGCTTGATCTGAATTATGGTGCAGTCGCTTCACCTCCTGCCTTTACCTTGTTTATCTGTCCAGAGACCGTTTGTTTGAAGCAGGTTTGTTTCGTCCCCTCGGGCTGCTGGCTTTATATTTCACAGTGAGAATAAACTCTTTGTTCTCATTAAATAAACAACTCAAAAGTGTTTGTATTTCACAAAAAGCTTTTCATTAGTCACACCAAAGTTAGCTTCAAAGAACCAGAACCAGAGTTCAGCAAATTCAAAAAACGGCATTTTTTCTACTCAGCTCTCTGCCCGTGTTACACATGAGGACACGAGTGCACCTCTCACAAACTGTTTCCCCGACAAATTTCTAAACGTCCCAGTTTTATTTTGGATGCATCCATAATTTCACTTTGCACAGGAACAAAAACCAGGAGAACGATGCTAACGGTCGTCCTTTGTGCTACGAGCTGCAGCGGTTCTCACACACGTCTCCTCACCAGTCCTGAGCATCTCTGAAGCTCCTCCAGGTTTGATGGTGTTTTCACCATCAGTGGGGCTGAAGCCCATCAGTAACCGTCACTTTGGTCTTCTGGAGGTTGTTCTTCACCACAAGACCAACGTGATGACCAAACGCACGTTTCTGGTTGTCGTGCTGGAAGGCAAAGCCATGACCCTGGCATGAGAAAGATAACCGCTGTTTGTTTATCTGAACTCTTTCGTTTCTTAGACGAGCTGGAAGTTTCCCTTCTGCCACATGCGTATGTTTGAAGGTTCAGGGGGCACCGTGTGATGCCTGAACCCGAGTGCTTAAATCTAACTGGGGATGTTTAATGGCTTCCTGTAACAAACCAACGAATGAAAAGGAAATGAAAAAGTAAAAGCATCACAAAAACAACAGATTCAGCTTTGTTTAATGTACACGGGCAAAAAGCAGGAAGCTAACTTTAGGTCATAATGAACTACAGTCGAATTCTGAACACTTAATACAAATGAAAAGAATCTGGTCCCATTACTGAATCACACTTCGTGCTCCACAGCTGGTGACAGAAAGTTGTTGCAGCTCAAAGCTGTTCCTGTCATGTATGGTTTGTGTCCTGAAGCTGCAAAGTCTTCAGATTTTAATGAAGCGGAGATCAGCACGAGCCGCTTCGAGCACAGAGGCAAAGCTCGACGTGCGCTTGTGAAAGCTGGTCCTCTCCTTCCCTCTTAGATCACCGTGACACTGATGCAGTCGGCGCTGCTCTCGCTCTGCAGTGCAACACTAATAGAAACACACGTGAGAATGAAATTGCTTCATTTCGTGAGGGATGGGAGATAATCTGAGCGCCTGCTGTATCCTTTGTTTCCTCTGCTGTTTTCTTAATTTGAGTACCTACTTGAATGTCGGTGATTTCCCTCCTGGCATCGACTCATTTCTGCAGCAGATGAAGGAGCAGTTTCAGATTCGAGCAGGTGGATTAACTCGGCGCTCCCTGCTGTGTGCACACATTTCTTTCTGCAGGGACGAGGGAAAGCTCAGAATTTTTTAACACCTTTAACATCAGCAAATAAAAGACACGCCTGGTAACCGCTGCCAGAATCCACCAATTCTAAGGTTAAATATCTGATAGAAACATTAAGAAGCAGCTTTTTGTGCGGGCAGTGAATCCACATTATTCAAACACGATCCAGCTCTGACCCGATGTTGCCGTGGACACGGGACCTCTGGCGAGTGCAGCGAGTCGCTCTTGTAGGTTTATACATGTGAACATTAACACTGGCTCAGGGGGTTGGGAAGCGCATCTGGAACCGGAAGGTCGCCGGTTCGATCCCCGTACTCTCTGTCCTGGCCGTTGTGTCCTTGGGCAAGACACTTCACCTACCGCCTACTGGTGTTGGCCAGAGGGGCTGATGGCGCGATATGGCAGCCTGGCTTCTGTCAGTCTGCCCCAGGGCAGCTGTGGCTACAACCGTAGCTGCCTCCACCAGTGTGTGAGAGTGAATGAATAGTGGTATTGTAAAGCGCTTTGGGCGCCTTGAAAAGCGCTATATAAATCCAATCCATTATTATTATTATTATTATTATTATTATTATTAGAGGAACTGCAGGTTTTTCAGCTTCAGCTGCTGGAGCCCAAACTCAAAGCTGTAGGAGAGTCAGACACAAACGCCATGCGTCCACGTGAACGACTGTGGCTGAACCAACTAACTGCTCACACCATTCAAATGAAACTGGATGTCTGACACTGATGAACAAAAGTACATGTAATTGAAACTCGAGGTATCATAGCTGTCACTTGTGACACTGGATTGTATTTCAGGTAGATGTGGAAGGTCAGATTCTGTGTGGTGCCTCGGTCTCATTAAAAATGCTGTGGGTGGGGTTGGAGGGGAATATGCACAGAAGGAGAAATCGCTTCGTCTGCCGGCACTGCAAATGTCAAAGCTGTTGAAAGAGATTTAGGAGCAATTTGTCACGATGATCTGCTCCCACTGATGAGGTCAAGAGATTCAAATCAAGTGTTTCATCTGCCCGTGTGGAAAAATCATCTGTCCTGTCGCCTCTTTTAGTTTTTATACTCTGAGATGTGAACAGCCGGAGAAGATGTGGAGAAGATGTCAGGAATCACAGGTTATAGCGGCTGGATTTATAGTAAAGTGGGAATTCTTGGTTTTGGGTTCCTGTTCTGATTCTGTATTTATTCTAATGATACGTTCCAGGTGACATATTTCACTTCCTCTCTTAACTTTATTATTATGATAGTTTTTATAACCTTTCCTGGGTTAGTCTCACGGTTCATGTAGAGGATAGCTGTACCTGCCGTGACGTTCCTCTCGCCATCATCGTGACTGTAATCTGGATGCAATGAAACATCAAATAATAATAATGATATGCTCACTTGCTTCTGTTGTCTGCAGGGTCTGAAGCCGATGGACTTCAACGGTTTAGCTGACCCGTACGTCAAACTGCACCTGCTGCCCGGAGCCTGTAAGGTGAGAGACCGTTCATAACAACAAAGGGTTGGTGTGACAGAGCGGGACGCTGGGATTGGGCAGGATGGAGGCAGACTGTGTGGACCTCAAAAGCTCCAGTTGAAAGAAGAAGAAAGTCCCACTGAGTGTTCAGGTGTTTCTGACCTGCAGGCTGTGCCTCATGTTTCCAGCATGAGCTTGATGAGGAGCACTACAGCACTTCTCAGGAAGGGAAAGAAAAAGAGGAAACACTCAGCTGACCTCCCATCATTCCACAGTGGGTGATGGCAAAAATGACTGATGACTCATTAGTGGCAGTAACTGAAGGATGCTTGTAAGGATGCTCCAGAGTATCCTCAGGTGAAGGAGGTCATCTTAATGTTGTTATGACTGCAGATGCCTCCAGATCACTTCACTCTGTTAGAAACCTTCATGAGAAACGCTTTACTTCCTGTTTTATTTTGAAAGTATTTTTCACCGTGTGTCTCTGGTGTTTTTGCCTCTGTCTTGTTTTCCTCTGACATCTTGCTTCACCACGGCACTAATCTCTGAGATTTCATGCTTTCACTTTCATACTTTGCTACCTGCCGGCTCGTCGCCCTCTTTGTGATCGATACCACAGGGTTATACCAGTGATACCAGTGAAACATGGCGAGGGCAAGATTTGAGTGTACCGACTAATTCAACATCCCAGACTATCAGACACTACTCGTCCTTTAGATCCTGCTGTGTTTGGAGAGATGTGCACACGGAGACATCAGTGCCCTGACGAAACAGCTGAAGGGATAATAACCTTCCTGCAGATGCTACACATACTTCTGCTTATAGGGCTGCTCGATATAACGATATATATCGGATGACGATATAAAAACGTCTGTCGTTGCATTTCACGCTATCGTTTGTTTCGTGGTGTCACAAAATAAACTGTTTACGGTAATATTTGTTCATGGTTCTGATGTCGCTGTAGTGGCTGTATTAATTTATTAAAGTTCTCTCTTATATTTAATATAACCACACTACAGACGGACAAGCGCCTGTTTTTATTCGTTGTCGTTAGCAACAACGACGGTAACAGCATCGCGTGTCCGCTTGTTTATGTTCCACATAAACCTTTCACAATAAAGCTCAAGATCCTGTTGACTTTTCAAAATAAACTGAATAATGTGAAAGAGCAGATTATTTACGGATGAGAAGTAAAAAAGAGCCGCCAGGTGCTAAAAAATAAACCTTAGACTCAAACGTTAGAACAGGCTTTTCCCCGCAGCACGCCGTGTAATAAATACTCACAAAGAAAACGGCGCCGTTACAACTTATGTCTAAAAATGTATCGTTTCATGCATCGGTTAAAACACTCGACTCCAGCTACACGACGCGCAGCTGGAAACACTTCACACAAGTCGAGCTGCCCGAGATTCACAGAATTTACAGAAAATGTTTGTGATTTATATCGTTATCGGACGATAGATGTCTTATATCGGGAGATGAGATTCTGGTCATATCGCACAGCCCTATCTGCTTATCTAGAACAAAGTTGCTGTTGACGTTCGACTTTGTGTTATGGGAAGCCACACAGAGGTGCTGTAACGTAACTCTGTTACAACAGTTCATCCCACACGAACATCAGCGTGAATTAAAGGTTTTGTTTGGAACAGTTTCACAGTAAAGCCAAACTGGGCCCTTTGAAGGACACGACAGCCTTCATCATGAAAGACGGGCTTGAGTCTAAACCACTGTGGGCAGGTTAGAAACTCCTAAAAAGAATCTTATGTGTTATAAATTGTTTTCTTTCATGTCACTAGTTTGACCAAAGTGCAAACTGTTTGCTCGGCGCTTGTTTCGTTTTCATTGCTGGATAAAGGAACAAGTGAAATTCTCTCCAGCGTGAGGATGAAGTAGCATCAGCAGAAAATGAACAGTCGACAGACGTGTTTCTACACATGAAAACGGGAACTTTGTGGGCGGAGCAAACACCTACAGAGAGGTGCACAGCACAGCTAGTGTAACTGAACAAATAAGAGGACGAAGCATCGCCCTCTGACCTCTGTGTCACTTCCTGCTGCTTAAAATGGCCCATATGGAAAAGAAATAGTAAAAACTTATATGTGATTACTCATGAAAGTGGCCACTTTCTCATTACTTTCATACATTGTTTTAGGAAGTATCCAAAACATACAAGTTTCATTATATAATTTTTAAGGGATCTTATATCTGTTTTCACTCTTATATGCTTTTCATACAAGTTTCACACAAGACAGATACAAACTTTATAAGATTTATAAAAATCTTTTCCATATGGGGGATGTTGTTTATTTCTCTCACACCAGATTTGGTCGAGTTGAGTTTTTGTTTTTTTAGCAGCTTGGGTAACATCGGTGTCACTGACTCATTGTTATTTTCTCTCTGCATTTTGATGAGCCGGAGGTAAAGGTGCCACTCTGCTCGTACAGCCACAGACCGACCAGATTTATTTTTCTGCTTTTTCTTATTTCCTCTCAAATATTTGCCGTTACAACGGCGTTCACATAAAACACGGTCAGGTTCTAATAATGAAGTCAGTGTTCAGCGCATCAGTAAAGTATTCACAGCGCTTCACTTCAAGCTTCAAACTCAGACATGCAGACATGCACCACTGTAGGCCTGACTGGTGGCGTGCTGTAGACGCGGTCAGAGCGGCCGTCGGGTCACACCGAGTGCGTTCTGACAAAGTGGGACGTTTTTGAACTTCCTGTGTAACAAATAACACCAAACATGTTGTTTTTGGATAAAATTCATCCTCAACGTGAAGAAAAGTCGACCTCGTGGTCTGATTGGTCAAATCTGATTATTCAGGTTAAAAAAATCGAGCTTAGTTATTAATAACTATTCATTTACCATTATGAACAGTTAGACTACAGAAGCTGTTGGGGACACTCAGCGCTGTCGTGTCAAAGACAGGAAGTTACAGGAAGTTAGGAGGCTGGAATCACGTGACTGTTACCTTTTAATATCCATGCTTCAGAAAATCAAACTGACATCAGTTTGACAAAGTTGATCATGTTCAAAAAGTGTCACAAGGTTTTGTTTCCCATGGAGGTTGTTTTGTGTGAGAGCGCTTCACTTTGAGCAGTCAACGATGCAAAACTGCTCTAAGAATAAAAATATGCAGCTGGAAAAGAGAAGAACATGATACAGTCAGCTGAAATATGTAAAAAGTGATTTTATTCTGGTTTCGTGGCCTCTGTGTTTACGTAAAGCCGCCTGTGAGCGCCTGAAATGTAGCGTCCACGGTTCAGTGGTGGTGCTGGCAGCACATTTTTGGCTTCGGCTCATTTCAGGATTTTCAGAAGCCGTTTCAAAGCCATGAAACGAAATCCTCCTCCTGACACGAGCAATGTGTAAAAATACTGAGGACGGATTGACTTTTATCCTGATGCTAGTTAAGTCTCCGGCACCTTCGCTGAAGTGATGCTTTGATTGTTGCTTTATTAATTGTGCAATCTTTGTGAACTTGAGTTTATTGCTGTGAGGAGACAGCAATGACTGTCTGGGTCCCCAAATAACATTAAAGTTTATCTCCATCTTGGCTCTGGTGTGACAAAGAAAATCTTCTCTCTGACCTGTTTTTCCTTTCGTCCTGTTGTTGATGGGATCTTATTTTTATTTGACTTTTGTCTTGAAGTGACGCAGCCACGAATTCAGTCTTTAATGAGATTCATACCTGAGCTTAAAAAGGTTTAAACACATTTTCTGCACTGTTTGAACTTCTGTGCAGAGCTGCTGAAATGAAATGTCAAACTGTGTTAGTAATTACTAATATCTGTGTGTGTGTGTGTCCTTCAGGCCAATAAGCTGAAAACGAGGACGATCCGTAACTCCCTGAATCCAGTGTGGAATGAAACGCTCACTTATGTCGGCATCACAGAGGAAGACATGCACAGGAAGACGCTCAGGTCTGTGTTTATATCTGCGTGTGTGACAAACACACACTGGGGATAATTCATCACATCTCATTTCAGAGCAATTACGCTCACAGCCATTAATCAGCTGCTCTTACATCCTGACATTCACATATGAAGCTCAGTTGTCACATTTCATTAGTTTAGCTGTCGGAGCAAAAAGCTGCACCAAGATGAAATTAAATGTTGTCTTTGCTGCTTTTCGCAGCTATCAAACACTTTTTGTTGCCAAGATCCTTCCCCGACTCTCTGGCTGCCTCTAACAGTCTGATTGGACTGAATCAGTCCTTCACAGAGTCAGAGACAACAGCAAAGAGCGCACAGCGAGCTGCTGTGAATAAAGCAGTTTGTCAGAGTTATCAGATAAACAGCTGCAGCCAAAAAAGGCTTGTTGTAGTGAATGAAGCCATCGTAAAAAAAACTACAGTAAACATCAGAAAGACTTTTGGGTTTAAATGACAAATGAGCCTCAGCCATCTTTATTCTGGCTGATGATGGCTAACACTAAGCTAACATGGACAAATAGCAAGTTGCCCTACAAAACCACAAGTGATCTGGTAAATAAGTTTTACCCCTGATGAAGGTAAAAGTATGTGTCCCAGCCCCAGATTTTTAGTGGTGCATGTTGAAATAATTTACACAGCAAACAAAAACCCAGAAATTAACTCTCAGTGTCCATAATCTGATGTCGGTGTGAGGGTCCAGCTGTGTGCCAGCAGAGGTTGGACCCAAACGCAGCACTGCAGAGACGAAGCATGAACTTGTGCTAAAGACCGAACACTGAGACGAATAATGGACGGGACATGACAACAAGACTGACAAACACAGGAAACACTGCCGACAACACACAAGCAAAACAGTAAGGGGACGAAACCAGAGCCACTATGGAAAACTGAACTAGGAGTCACTCTGGAAACACCAGAACACAAAAGCATAAACACAAAGCACTGGATCAGCGACCCAGGACAGCGTGTGCCTAACATTATTCATGAAATCACAGAGTGAAAACTACCATCAAGTAAATAAAAGAGCAATGACAAAGATTCAGACCATACGGAGACTCCCCACTTGCCTGACAGGGCCGTGCAGAGAGGTTTAAAGGGGCGGGTGCTCAAAGTTAA